TCATCATCATCTTCTTCTTCTTCGTCTTCTTCTTCTGCTTCTTCTTCTCCCTAGCGTGCACATCAACCTCCCTTCGGGCAACCTCTCTCCGCTTCCACCCTGCCCCTTCCATGCAGTGGTCTGCTGTCAAGCCAGAGGCTCATACATAGTACCTGGCACATCAAACTCCCTTGGGGCCACCTCTCCAAGGCCGGCGGGCTTGCCGAAGGCAATTAAATATCTACCATGAAACCAACATTTATTAGTTATTGGAGTTATGTCTACCACCCAACAGCGATTTAGCTCACATTAGAAGTGCCACTTTGCCCTGCCAATGTGCTGTCTCCACGGAGAAATAGAAGGCCACCACTGGAGAGGTGATTCCTGGTAGCTCCTCAAAGCCTTGACTCGCTGTGAAGACTGGCAATTTTGTTTCATGGGGATATTTAATGGGGATATGTCATAGGGATTATGGGAGATCATGAGGGCTTTGATTCATTGTAATATATACGTAGTGATTTTGTTCATAGGGCTTTCAAACGTAGTGATATTTGAAAGTGATAAAAATTGTGAGATCATAGGCTTTTCCATGGGCTTTTCAAACTTTACACCTTTAATTTTTTGGGGGAATATACCCTCTGGTAAACTAACGTAGCTATTGAAAATGGTCCATTTATAGTGAGTTTTCCCATACAAAATGGTAGTTATGTTAAATTACCAGAGGGTAAACCTCCACTCATCACCATTAGATCCCAGAAAAAATCACCATGAAATCCCATGAAATCCCATTAAAAATGTATGGTTTTCCTATGATTTTCCCATAAAACCAGAGGGTTTTCCCATTAAATCACCATTAATCACCAGTTTACCAGAGGGTAAAACATGGGGATATCCAAAATGGGTCGTTGAAAATTTCGTCGACGAAGTCCGCCAGCTCCAGCTTTTGGTTGCTTCCCCACCATCGAGGTGATCTGAAGTTTTTGTGTCACCGGAAACAGAATGGGATTCATAGTGGTTAATAGTGGTTGATAAACCCAATAATTGGAGATGACATGTGGTTAAAACAATGTCATAAACTAGCCATGACTGGGAATGGCAAATATTATTTATATATATATATACCATCTATAAAGATGCTGATGACTGGGGGCTGGTTTATGATTCTTTTACACACATTATTAATGGGAATCTGGCTGAATTATTACACTGGTTGGTGGTTTCAACCCCTCTGAAAAATATTAGTCAGTTGGGATGCTTATTCCCAATATATGGAAAATAAAAAATGATGCAAACAAACCAATCAGTACAACTCACTCATCTGAAAATAGCTGATTCATGTAAGGCCATAAAAGGGGATGTTCTTCCCCCAATTCATTCACCATCATTCCAGTGACATCATCCAGACACAATGTACCCTCTGGCAAACTAACAGTTTGCTATTGAAAATGGCCATAGAAATAGTGGATTTTCCCATGAAAAATTGTGATTTTCCATAGTTTTTTATTAACGTTTACCAGAGGGTACTCTCTGGCAATCAAACGTGGGAATTGAACATTGGGAATGGAACATCGCCCATTTACAGATGATTTTCCTAGCTAGAAACTTCAATTTATTGAAGATGTTCCGGCCAGCCACGTTATATTCCCAGTAGATCCCCACTCACATCCCATTGAAATCCCCAAAAGAAACAGCATCATTGGCGAAAGTTCAAAGGCACCCATCTAAGTGGTGATTCAACACGGGTTCCCATCACGCTTTCTTCAAGCGGCCAATGAAGGTGTAGAAGGCTGTCCCCAACGACAAATACCTCAGGCGATCGGATTCGTCAGGGGTTGTCCCATTTAGGTCACAACTCCACTTGTTACCCTCCAGTAAAGAAAATTGGATGTACCCTTTGGGAAATGTCAGGTTTATCCATTTTAATGGGATTTTAATGGTACGTTAATGGGATATTTCTGGTAAACATACAAAAAGCTATTGAAAATGGCCATAGAAATAGTGGATTTACCCATTGAAAATGACGATGTTCCATAGTTTTTTGTATGTTTACCAGAGGGTAACCACTTACTAAATGGGATGATCCTCAATTTGAAAACCCTTCGACCATTTCCAGTAGCCACAACGGAATGCTGTGGGATGTATATAATATATAATGTATAATATATAATATATAATATATAATATATAATATATAATATATAATATATAATGTATAATGTATAATATATAATATATAATATATAATGTATAATATATAATATATAATATATAATATACAATATACAATATATAATATATAATATACAATATATAATATATAATATATAACATATAATATATATAATATATAATATATAATATATAATATATAATATATAATATATAATAAAACATATGTATGTGTCCAGAAATGTGCTACACCGCTTTTAATGGCCATGGGCGGGCTGCTTTTTTGCGGCAAAATCACGATCAACTACAGGATTTGGGGCCTTGGGGCGGGGCATTCTGGACCAAAACAGAGACCGACAAAATGTCGCAACAACGAGAATTCCACCACAACATACCCATAGTTTCTAGCTAGGAAAATCATCTGTAAATGGGCGATGTTCCATTCCCAATGTTCAATTCCCACGTTTGATTGCCAGAGAGTACCCTCTGGTAAACGTTAATAAAAAACTATGGAAAATCACAATTTTTCATGGGAAAATCCACTATTTCTATGGCCATTTTCAATAGCAAACTGTTAGTTTGCCAGAGGGTATATCCTGAGCCACAAAAATTCCGGCCCAAAAAAACATCCACTGGATATCCAGCCATTCAGCAAGTGTTACCGGCAACTTTTCTGCATGTTCTATGCTTCAAATTTTCATCCACTGCATTCATCCCATCCACGAATCCACTAGCTACTTGAGGAGTTAGTAAGTGGCTAGCAAATGGGCTTATAAGGCTCATAACATCTCAAAAAAGAACATTTATTCATTGATATTTTCATGGGATGACCGACTGAAAGGGGACCGACTAGTCACCAGGGTTTTCACTAGTTGACCGTGGGATGATCCAAGTCGATCTCCATGGGTTTTTGAAAAAAACCGCGAGGTGAGGCCTAGATATGATAGCTAAATAACTCTAATAACGTTTGGATTTGTGGTAGATATATCATGATATATCTATGGCTCCGGAATTCTTTGGAGATGTGTTTTTTCCATTTCGGTTTATTTTTTCCTGCATGTCCTGTTCTATGAATTCCTTACTGACTGTTGTTTTTTCAATCAACAGTCACACATTTCCTGTGGCCCAGCACCGTGGCCAGGACAAAGCTCACGATCCACCGTGGCAGGCTGAAAAAAAAACATGCATCTTATCCATAAATTGTCCATTATGGTCAATGAGTTTCCTCTATATTATTTTATATATATATATATATGTAACATGTGTATATTGTATATATATATATTATTATATCATATGATCATATGTGTGTGTATTATATATATATGTATAATATATATATATATATGTATATACATACATACATACATATCCAAAAATGGTGTTTCTCCATCCAGCCATGTTTGGTTTCAAGATGGTATCACTGAATTCGCCGACCATTCCGACACCAGATGTGTATCATCCTCCCCCTGTTCCATCGCATAGGTACTGACCCCTCACCGTATCTCACTTGTCTTAGTGGAATCCCAATATTGAAAATGGTGGTTTAATATGGTTTAATGGGATATCAACTGGCATCATGAGATATTGTTGTCTTGCCCTCTGGTAAACTAACATAGCTATTGAAAATTGCCATAGAAATAGTTGATTTACCCATTAAAAATTGGTGATGTTCCATAGTTATGTTAGTTTACCAGAGGGTATCCCATGTTTGCTGTAAAAATCACCATCGAATTATTCTGAATCCCATGTTTTTCTTGTTTGAATGTCTATGTTGTTTGGCTTAAATCCCCTTAAGATCAAAGAAGATCGAAAAGGTGAATCACCACTCTTTTACGCCCCTAATTTTTAGTTTTCAATCTTTTGGGGTCTGTAAATTCCACCAGATCTCGTTTTGGTTACCCCCGGGCCCCCAACCGTTTTCCGCACTCAGCGACAACACAGTGGTCAGCAAGAATCGCCGGAGCGAGCCACTCAGACCGAGAATCTGCAGAGCCAGGGGTTTGGAGGGTTTGGAACGGGATTGATCTACAGATATCCCTGGATGGATCTATCTGCTTGGTGGTTAATGGTGGTTAATGACCATCTGGTTGGTGGTTGATGATGGTTAATGGTGGTTAATAATGGTCAATCATATCTGGTTGGTGGTATACCTACCATTTTGAAAAATGATGGAGTTCCTCAATGGGAAGGATTATTCCATCCCATATATTGTGGAAAATAAAAAATGTTTGAAACCACCAACCAGATTCATATTAACATATATTAACTAATATGATTGTTCATTGATCTACAAATATCATTGGATTCAAATTTTAATGCCAGGTTTTGCCGGTTTACAGTAGTCGCCTTTTTCCTTCTTCGTTCAAGTGCTCGTTATTTTTCTTAGCTAAGTTGACTTTCAACTTGGTGAACGTTTGGGTTTATTTTCAGGTGATATAATAATATAATAATAGCTGATGGCATTATAAACCAACTTATACAACTTATAAGTGGCAAAAGCCTCACCTTGCACTTGTTTGTGAATCAAAAAAAAAACATCCCCTCGATGTCAAAGCTGTTTCCAGTCAGATTAGTCCCCCCCAAACTCGGCTGCTTCGTTTACTATGACATAAACATAAGTTCACTAGAACTTCCTGTTCATGTTGAATCTACTTTCAACTAATGATGATATGTCAGAAAGAGTAGTTCAATAATATTTAATATTGAAGCATTACTTGGGGGTGCAATTGGGGTGACAAAACGAGTGCAACTATGGTAATAACTAACCTCCATAACTTGAGATATGATCCCTACAACTATGGTGACATATTTCCCACAAAAATCAGGGGGACTGCACCCCCAAGCAGGGGATTGTAACTGCCTTCATTTAAGCTTTGACCAGCCGTCCAAGCTTTGACCAGTCCTATCCTATCCATCATGTGCTACTAATATGTACTATATATATATACATATATGTACTATATATATATGTACTATATATATATCCATTGTATCCTAATATGTCCTTATTGTTCGTAATTAATCATCATTTGCCAAGTTATCTGGCAGAATGATCCTATCCTTCAACTTCCATGGCACTTATCGGGATTTCAGGGCTCCAAACAAATCTGCTGTGGTGGTGCCCTCTACTTAGCTTAATGTTGGTAAAACAATCATAAACCATCCCCCAAATCACCATTTTTATAAGTGGTATGTGTACCATTCCCAGTCATGGCTGGCTTATGACATTGTAAAAAACCCACATAAAACTTGTTTTTTTCCTATAGGCTTTTCCATTTGACTAGGATTTTCCATGAAAAATCACCATCCATTGGGGATCCCCCATGACTATGGAAAGCCTCAAATCGTCAGTCCGGCCATGCCTCGCCTGTTCGAAGGTCGAAGCTTCCACCAGGCGCCGCTCCTGTTCCTGCGCTTTCTGCGCTGGACGATAGGCCGCATTGCGTAGCAGCAACTCGCCTCAAAAGTCTGGTTCCATGGAGCATCCCCAATAGCTGGCTTAATGTCAACCCTGGATTAATAAACCCCAAACGGCTGTTTAATTGGGAGGGTACCATTTAAGTATTAGATGAAATGACTATTGGAGGAGCACCCCCCCTAATTAATAAACCATGGTTTATTAATCCGGTGTTGACATTATATTGGAAAATCCCATTCAAATGACATGAATAATGTTATTTGAAAATCCGAAAACAATGGATCAATCATGTATTCCATCATTCAAATGGAAAAAAAATGGCTACCTGGTTACCTCCATTTTCGGAAACCGCAATTCATCTGTCGCCCATCTTCGAGGCCCAGCGCAGTCCAGTGTCGCATGGAGCCCATAGTTTTCTCGAAATCGACACGGGTGAGGTACAGCAGCAGCGTTTGACCATCCTGCACCGGGGCCACTGGGGCCACGGCATATGCTGAAGATAGGGTAACTGTCAAGTTTATTGGTGAATGTAATGGATGAATTGGATATAATGGAACATTATGGAATATTGACCAGAATTTACTGGGATATCATGAGTATTTATGAATTATAATGGTTATAATAAAAAAAAATCACCAACAACGGCAAGTTAACCAACAAAAGTTGTGATTTAAGCAGGAAAAAAATTAGTGAGTTTACCAACAAAAAAATAGGGATCTAACAAATCTTTAACTGACAAAGTTATTTGGATTTAATCATCGGAAATTGCGGGGGATATTACCTTCCGGTGTCCGATTTACTATGGCTGGTAAATCCATGAGCTGAATGGATGCTCTTCAATGGGAAGAACATTGGAAAATATTGGAAAATTTTCGGGAAATCCACTGTAAATGAAGCTTTTAATGGGAACGTAAAAACTATAAACGGTGGATTTGCCAGCAAGCCATGCTCGTTTATACAATGAGGTTCTTATTTGATGTTAGTTGGCAACTGGGCAATGTTGTGATTCAGCAAAAATAGTGATGTTTATCACCCGCTAGTAATCAACAAAAAATCGGAAAGTGTGCAACCCGGGTGAAGTTCAATGATTCAATGGATTGGTTGAAGGCGGGAAGATCTTCACCGGAAACCCATGGTTTTTGACCATGAAATATGGGGGGATTTCCCTTAAACCAATCCATTGAATGATTCATTTTCCCCATCCAGGTGTAGTGGTGACCTCCTCGTACGCCCAAAAATGATGACCCTAAATGGTTACTTAACATAGCCATGGAACATCATCACTTTTAATAGGTACATCTATAAATGCTCATTGTTCAATAGCTATGTTAATTAACCATTTAGGGTATTAATGAACGCTATGTTTGCCATGGGTTATATATCATATTCTCAAATTATAGTACAGGATGGGGCCCCCCAGTGATGTTTGTTGGTTTATAAACCATGAATTAATCCCCATTAACTAGTTCGTTATATCTACCATAAACCACAATTAAACCACTTATAAACCAACTTAGCTATCTTGGGGGCCCCATCCTGTATAAATAGTTCATTTTACATAGCTATGTGATTTTACCAGAAGGGTCATGGGAAAAAATATGGGCAGTGTGAAATAAATCCCTCTATCAGTCCATTTAATCCTGGTTAAGAACGGGATTCCCCGTTCTTGGATGATTATCCCCAATATATGAAGGGTAGAAAAAAATCCCCGAACTAATCATCAAGCACCAGAAGTTTTGAACATCAAATCCCATTAGATTCCACAAACATAACCGTTAAATCCTATTTAAAAAAATCACCATAAAAGTCCATAAAATCACTAATAGCCCCATATTTTAAATCTCATAAAATACCCTGCCAGGGGTTTAGCAGCCACTGCTCATATGGCTTATATCATCGAAATTCCCATCCGACCATCCCTAACTGGCGAGAACAATCTGTGTGTTTTGGGGAGCATAGCGCTACGCTAGCGATACGATATGTAGAGCATTCTACAACTTATCACAAGGTGGGGGGGTTCTAGAACTAGATATGATAGCTAAGTTGGTTGAGTAACTCCAATAAGTAGGATTTATGGCAGATATGTCGAACTAGTTCATCGGGTTACAAAGCAACTTATAACTGGGGGGCATCTCCCTGCAGGATATGAAAAATCAATGTATGGTTGCTGGAAGCTTTCAGGCAGGTAAATCACAACTTCATCAACAAAGTCACTGGTGCAATGTGGTAAACCCTACATTCAAGAAACCAATGCATTTTAGGTTTATAACATCACTGACCAAATGATCACTCATGATCACTCGCTAAGTCTTGTTTATGGCTGAAGGTTTCCCACTTGAGGTAAGGTTTACCACAATGTTTGATAGCAAACTACCCATTTATATAAATAGGTTAAAATTGTCTCAATATGTGGTGATTTGTATAGAAATATGGTGAAATCGAGTCAGATTCGTCAAAGCCTCATTTGAAGTGAAACCGGATGATTCTCACTAGAGGGGTCCTCCAAGTACTGGCCCTGAAAAACGGGTCCTGCCTTGCTATTTCGGATGGTGGCTCTGCGGGGGGCAGAAGTTAACAAAGCCAGCTCTCCAAAGTATTCCCCTGAGCCACGACTCAGAACTCAGAAATTGCCAAAAAAAACATTGGATCGTTCATTGAACATGGTGGATTAATATGGTTTAATGGGATATCAACTGGCATCATGAGATATTGTTGTCTTACCCTCTGGTAAACATACAAAAAGTTATTGAAAATGGTGATTGTCCATAGTGGACTCACCCATTGATAGCATGGTGATTGTCCATAGTTATGTAATAGTTTACCAGAGGGTAGTCAAACATGACTTTGTTCCCAAAGCTCCGCAGAAAAATGTTGCACGGATTTTCCAGCCATGGCCAGAAGGTAGGGTATACTTCATTGATTCATGTCTTTCCAAAAAGAATCAGCCAAGAAATCACGGTAAATCCCAACAAGTCAATTTGAGGTTCCCCTGTCCGAATCGCCAAATTGTGTCGTTTCACTTGGGCAAATTGGACATTCTTCGTTCACAACTCGGAATTTGATTGAGGAACCCCCCCAAAAAAAAAATAGAGAAGTGTCTCTGCATCGATTCCCCACTATTGTCCATTGGGAGTTCATAAGCCGTGGATTTCACATCTGCTATCGTGGATTTCATGATGCCTGAACCCCAAAGCGAATCTAGAGTTAAGACATGTTAAGACTTTCCAGTCTAGTAAGCCTCTATAAATCAAGGTGTTAATCGTGTTTCTAAAAAAGATATGGTGGAAAAAAAACATCTGGCCCTTATAAAAAGGATGAATCATCCTATGATATCCTATCCTTTCACAGATGAAAATTGCGCCCAGGTTTGACCCCAACATTTCAGCAGTGACAGTGATATCGTAGTATCTATTCCCAGTGGAAAATCACCGGACGATTCCTAAATCGTGAGCAAATCGATCAATGGAATAAAGAGCTACATTTTTTTTGTGGTAGAATTTTGTAGTCACTCAGCTGAAAATTTAGTCATTTTTCGTTTGGCCATCTGGGGATGATATCATGATGATATCCCTCCCGCCGAGAAATTACTAACCATCATTCGACGTCACGGCTTGAGATCACCCCATCATATCCCATCAAAAACCACCATGTGTGTGTGTGTGTGTTGCTTGAGTCACCATGATGTTGATGGTGATTTATCACCACTATAACATATTATAAGCATTATAATTCATAATATATATATATATCATATATATATATATATGGTTGGTGGTGTTAACCATCTTGAAAAATATGAAAGTCAATGGGAAGGATTATCCCATATATTATGCAAAATAAAAAATGTTTGAAACCACCAACCAGATATATGTATATATTATATCCCATTCTAGTCTCAGTAATATTCCATGATGTTACATTATATCCAGTTATACATCCATTACATGAAAACATATGAAAACCATTATCTGATGGTGAAATACCCACCATCTTCGGCACATCCCAAAATGTTCCCAACAATCCTAAGATTCCCATATTGTTGATTATATCCCTATCAAATGTCCTGATTTACTCTAGAGTGTTTACTGCTCCACTGCGTAGATGTGGAAAACCCATGGCTGGTTTCCCCAGGAAACTGATCTACCATGGTGTCGCGCTGGCTTCCACATCGAGTTCGGCAACGGTTTTTACCCGGCAACAGTTGGTTGAAACCCTTTATTGTTTTACCATCTGGTTATTTAACATAGCCACGGGAAATGACCCATTTATAGATGGTTTACCTATTAAAAATGGTGATTTTCCTTGGCTATGTTAAATAACCAGATGGTACATCCCATTGATGCCGACTCCCTGACTCCCGACACCTGTGAGGTAGTGCTTCACCATCTCTTCTACCTTCCCAGACGAATCCTTGCAATGGATTAGTGCAGGAAAATCGTCAAACCACGGGAAAATGAGCGCCAAAAAATGGGGGGTTTCCTGCAAATGTGTCCCGTACATCAATTCTAAGCCGCCATCTCCAACTTGGCGGTTTTAGCTGAAAAATCCTCCGTTGAAAGATTGGAGATCTGTAGATCCATGATTTTCCCATGTAGATCTCAGGCAATTTCGTAGCCAGCCATGCTGAAAATGTGCAACGGAATAGATGCCCTGATCGGGACGTTCACCCTGGGAATGTCAACCAAGATCAGCCACCAATATCAGGACCATCCGTCAACATCGCCGTTGGTGAAGTCTTTTCTTAAACCATTTAAGATTTTTCCTGATTCCATTGAAAATGGTGGATTCATATGGTTTAATGGGATATCAACTGGCATGAGATATTGATGGCTTTTGCCTCTGGTCATTTCTTACAGTTTGCTATTGAAAATGGCCCATTCAAAGATGATTTACCGAACCAATAAATGGTGATGTTCCATAGTTGTTTGTATGTTTACGAGAGGTTAAACCTCCACTAATCACCATTAGATCCCACTAAATCACCATGAAATCCCATGAAATCCCATTGACCATTAATCACCAGTTTACCAGAGGGTCAGTGGATGATATGGATTGATATTGGTGTTAATGACTTGATTTATAAAATGTCCAAGTCGTTAACACTGATATCAACCAACATCAATTGCTAATACTGGTTGATCACCGACCCGTGGATATGTCCAAAACAAATTGTTGAATCTCCATGTTCGCAGTTTCAAAGATGAAGCCATGTCGAACCTGACATGCAACAAGACTTCTAGGTAAGGAAAAATGTCCGAAAATAAACAACTACCTGTCCGGGTTTGCCCAAATTCCCGCTTTGAATCCACAGCTCGACGAGAAATTTGCGCCTCCCCGTCCCTTTGGACAAAGGCTTTGACTTCACCATCGATGATGATGAAGAACTTGTCTCCTGTTGTTCAACGCTGGGTGATTCATAACCACAAAGGTCGATGCAAAAGTTCCAAAACCAAACATGGGGAATTTCTCATGGAACTGGCATCCTGAAAATGGTGTTTCTATCTTTTTTCTGTGGTCACTATATATCCATATTGGTTCAAGTATCTTAACGGATGGAACTCATGAGATTTTTATGTGAGTTTTTAGTGGAACCATGATGGGAAAGATGTACCCCATTCTGTTCACATCAAAATAGCTGGTGTGACTGGATGTTCATCCCCAAAAAGATGAACGTTTCATTGGTATTGACGGCTGCCTATATGAAGATATAGGTTCAATATCAGGTAGATATGAATATATACGTGTATATATATATATACATATATATATATATACATATATATATATATACATATATATATACATATATATATATACATATATATATATATATACATATATATATATACATATATATACATATATATATTTACATATATATATATATACATATATATACATATATATATATACATTGGGACCTTTCTTGGCCTCTTTCATGGTGAGCAGCTCAAGGGTATGTAGAACTATATGGACTCCACATAAAATACCTATGGGACTGTCAAGAACTATATTACTATGTGATAAAAACCCTTTAAAAATCATCAGGAACTATATGAGGAATACAAAAAACACAATAAAACACCTGTGGAACTATTTGCAAAATCAAACAAAATCCCTTGGAACTATATGAAAAAACACACAAAATTCCACGGGGATTATGTTGAAACTCATTAAGACATGGAGGGGGCTACATGACATATGACTTCACTTTCGCCCAGAACCGAAAATTCTGATATTTTTCAGGGGAACCACCCTTAAATATTAAGCCCAGCTGCCAGCATCAGCGTCATCATTCGAATACATTCTGAAAGCTGCCCTCAACTCTTTGTTTGTCAGTGAATACCCAATATCAAAAAGGAAGAATTGAATAAAGTCCTGTTGTGATTTTGCAACTAGCATTTTGCCAAAGGCTGGAAACCAAGGGTATTAATGCATACTATCCTTGTTGCTGGACCCGAAACAAAACCTATATGGAAAGAATAGAAGTGGTAGATTCGCCCAAGTCCTCAAAGACAGGGAAGCAACACAACCATTCACAAATCTCAACTGTTGGAAATTGGAAATCTTGTTTTCTTCCCCATCATTTGGTCATCTCTAAACATAGCTTAGGAGATTTCCCATTCCAACAGTTGAGTTTTTTTTTGGGCGGGGTCCTCCTCCCGTCGTCTTTGTGTGCATTCATTTGGCTTTGAAACCCCCGAGCCCGTAGAACCAAAGGCATTTGAAGGCTGAAGGTGCTGTGTGGCACCTTGTTGCCAAGACAAAACCAGCAAGCCCTCAGCACAAGCTTTTTGTTTCCCCAAGTTTCAGAGTCCTTTCTGTTCAAACAGTGGCCATAGCCACTCGCTCTTGAGTTTCCCCACCCGAGCTGGACATTTCAAATGTCCAGCATGTCCGGCATGAAAGCACCAGTTACGTATTCATTGATAGGGACATAAGTACCACTTACCCAAAGATCAAGTTGAAAGGGTTGCTACACATCAAAAAGGCGGGTTTTGACGGATTTGAACATGTTCTAGAAATGCCAGGCTGCACTCGGGCTCTTGAAAAGGGATTGAGAGTTTTTCGGGCAGATACCGCCATGTTGGCTGGAAGGCATGGCTCTTCCAAGAGGGAATGTTGAAACCAGAAGCTCATCATTACCCATTATTTTTCCTCAGTGTGTCAAAAGTCGAACAACCAATAAACAACTGATTATATAACATTTGGGGCTACAACTCAAGCCGAAAGAGCCCTATGCCCATTCCTGGCCAACTCACATATAGTCCGCCAGCCGCAACTCTGAGTTAGTCTTAGCAACTCTCGCAAAACACAACCTTTGATCCTTTCCGACCCTACTCAAGTGATCTCAGGACTGCTTTCTCTTCTTGCCCTTGTTGCTTTTGCTGGTTCTCTTCTTTTTTGCTGGCTGCTGCGCGTCATAATCATCGTTGTCATCATCATTCTCCACCTCTGGCTCCTTGGCTCTCTTCCTTGGAAATTTGTATGCTACAAGCGGCGTGCTTACTATCACACTTCCGCTATTTATACACGTGTCACGTGTTAGTGTACGTATCAGTGTGTGAAAGTTAAATGTAAGCAAAACAAGCATGGTAAAATTGAGTGTCGGTCGCGATGCAGGATTCCAAAAGACACATGGGAAATGCATGGAGTGCTAGCTTAAAGATGCAAGTTACAAGTTTGAAGTTGAGAAAGGGGGAATAAGTAGATAGTATTGTTTTAAACAAGAAAAGTTATATTATATAAGTTTGAAATAACATCAGGCAGCGTATCATGTTTGTAAACTAAGTATGCTAAAATATGATATATGTTCAAAAACATGATATTATATGGCTCTTTAGAAATAGTTCTGGACGGTTCAGAACTATTCCTTAGAATAGTTTAAGAATAGTTCTGGACGGTTCAGAACGGTTCAGTACTATTTATAAAAGATATATTAGAAATAGTTCTGGACGGTTCAGAACGGTTCAGAACTATTTCTAACACCGGAGCTATCCAGAACTATCCAGAACTATCCAGAACTATCCAGAACTATTTGGGTTTTAGCTCAGGAATAGTTCTGGACGGTTCTGGACGGTTCAGTACTATTTCTCAAAATATATTTGAAATAGTTCTGGACGGTCCAGATCTATTTCTTATGTTGTTAATTTTCGAAGCATTTTTAAAGATGTGGTAACTTAAGTTAAAACATATGTTACATATGTTCAACTATTGATAGAACGTACATGAATAATCTGAAGATAACGCAACATGTCTTGAACCTAGCAGGGGAGGTTATGCAGTGTATCCTCAAGAGCTACACCTTATGGGCGTGCTTAAGGCCACCACGAGCTACCTTGTATCTTTCTGTTCCCAAAAATCATAAGGATGGAAATGGTACTCGCAACGAAAGTCCTGGTCCATACGGTCCATACGTCCGTACGATTGCAGGCTGAAACCATGCTGAGCCAATTCACTAGCCCATGCTAGCCCAACTCTAGGCGAGGTTCCATCAAGGATGCATAGGCACTGTTCAGAAACTTGGTCTGCCTCTTGTTGAGGCGCTCCAAAACCTTTGGGATCTCTGTGTAATTACTTGTTATGCTCGACCTTCAGGCGCCTCATTTCAGCCCTGTCAGCTGCCCGGGACTTCTCGGTTCTTTGCCCGTCCTGCCATTCGGGGACATGGCAGAATAGACGGGCAGCGGGAAGAAAAATGTTTGGGAAAATGAAATAGTTCCGGCCATTTTTTGAATCAAATGGAAATAGTTCCGGCATTTTTTTCCCCCAAAAAAATATAGTTCCGGCCGAAAATGGTAGACTTTTCAGCTAAGAAATGGTTCTGGATAGTTCTGGACCGTTCCGGAAGCGGCAACTGTTCCACGCTCCCGCAAAACCTATCCCAGCTGTGGTCGGAAAGGAAGTCGGCATGGCTCCCGGATAGTCCTCACTTTTGGGTGGCGGTCTTGCTCCCATGTCCAGCGCAGCCAAAACTCCAGCCACATACCTTCGAACTTGAGACACCGAAGACCTTGGGTCCTTGAACCAAGCAACGGTAACTTGACTTACCATATTTGTCCTTGAACTTTGGGTCATTCTATCGGTATCAAACAGTCGCCAACCTTTTGTAGACCAACCATAGCGCTGGAAACCCTCATGTCAACCACTACCCTCACCTCTTTGTACCTGTGGTTGTGCGCGATGCTGCATTCTCGCAAGCAACACTGGCAGTGGCCGCCCATGATCACGTGGTCCATGTCACTGAAGACGTGGTCAAGTTAGCTTCCAATAACAAGGATGGACGATGCTATGGCAATGGCCCTGACACCAACCTCAAATGGCATTGGGTGAAAATGAGAATCACCTTGGGCGAACCACAATTGGGGCCCCATCACGTCCAGCGCAAGTGGACCGTGGTGACACATGCTTGCCCTACACACCCTTTCGAAAGTCCAACCAATTCCGGCCTAGTATATCCAACGTACCCTAGTGTAGCCGCATCAGACACAAAGAGAGGCAAATGAGACCGTGCATGTATCCTGGCCGCACATGATTCCCAGAACGAATTAAAGTGAAAACATACCAGGATCCGATCCCCATCAGCGATTGCATGTCACTGTGTCAAGTATACGGTACAAGTTTATATTATATAGGAGGGTCATTTCATATCATATCATATCATATCATATCGTGATATTCTGAAGTGATGTGATATGTATATGCTTTTGCTATCTGATATCGCCTGGCCCCTCTTCCTGGCCAAGGGTCTGCAATCTCCATGGTGTGCAACAATGAAGTCCCGCTTTGACTCGCTAATGTCTGAGACAGCCAGTGTAAGGAAAGGTATTGGACGCTTCAAGTTGCGGTTCAGCTCCTGCCTTGGCTGGGCCACGCACACTGGACCCCACAAGACAATGATTCACTTTCTGCGAACCTCGCTAGACTTCGCCCAGCGGAAAGACAAAAACACCCCGCACACACCCCAGAAAGTTGCAATACCCGCTTGAAATAACAAGTTTGGACCAGCTTGGTTGCATTGCATATGTTGCCGTAGCTGCTCCAGCGCATTCCTCAACCAAAGTGATCCTGATGCGCGAAACCAATCCGCGCTTGACTGCGGACAAACAGGAATAAAGGAACCACTAGCGTTTGGAATTTCAAAGCTACAAGTTTTGCCGTAATGCCGTGATGAGTAATCTTACGTTCTGTTGCGTTCAAAGCAAAAAGACAGGACATCAAATTTGATTTGCAAACAACATCGACTTTGGCCAAGCGTCGAGCAATTCTCCAACAGCTAGTGCTCCGAAGCAGAAAGCTGTGGGATGTTGGGCTCGGGAAGCTGAATGATGTTCTTGGTCCACAACATGCAACCAGGCTTCTCCAAGCCCATGTCCTAAGTGGAGCTTGGGTGGAAAGCAGGGTTTTTCACATACACCACGCCCAAAAAAATGGTTTCCTAAATTCAACTGTTCAAGCAGGGATCTGAACATCATGAAGCTGATGTACTCGAAACCGAAAAATTAAGTCAAATTTCCTGTCGACATCAAAGGTTGGATGGCGCAATGTCACAGCATCATATATAATCTCCTTCGACCATTTGCAGTCAGACTGCTTTTTTTTGAAATTTCTTACCCCCAAAGTGAAATGAGCAACAAGGAATGCTGCTGTTGATGTGTACTTCAACTTTGAACTGCATATCGGTCGGGAAAAACCAACGGTTTGATTGTGTGTGTGTGGTCCTTCCTGATCGCAATAAGGTGTACAAAAACAAATGGATCAAGTTAGAAACCGTTGGGAGGGAGAACATGAACATGACATGGCCATTTAAACAAGTCACTCAAGGAGATCAGGTGGAAGTTCAGAATCTGCAACTGCTTCAGGCTCTGAGTCTGAAGTTCCCCAAACAGTTGAAGCATCATCGAGCCCCGACCGATCACCCGAAACTGCTGTGGTCATTCCGACCAATGGGAGACCTTGCCTATATTGAGCAAAAATACTGGCCACATGTGGGTTGCTTTGTCACACTCCCACCTGGACCTGCGTTGGAGGAACAATGCAATAATACAGCCATCAGGTTTGTTGGTGTAGCTAGTATCACTAGCATCTGTTTAAGGTCAGGCACATATATACTATGCAAGCTGGACCTTTTTATTGAATTTCATGGCCTGCTTTCCCTTGAATTTCCAGGCCATCTGATTTCAACTCAGCCCTGGCCAAGGATTGCACAATGATTTGTGATATGCAATATGCAAATATAATATACAACTTATACAACATGATATAACATAATTCCTGCATGTTGAAGGTTATTCTTGAGGATATATTAGTGTGGGCGTTTGTTGCCCGAAAAATGGCCCAACCATCCAGGATTTGCCCACTAAGAATTGTCATAAACTTGACACATGGTCTTACATGGCTTTATAGCTTTGACTGTTTATGGTCAAAAATCAATATAGTTCTGACCATTGTTGGAAAAACAACAATATAGTTCTGACCATTTTTGGATAAAAAAAATATAGTTCTGACCATTTTTAGACAAAAATGAATATAGTTCTGACGGTTTTTTTGAAGATGTTTAACAGGATTTAAAGTAGTTCTAACCATCATTTTAAATAGTTCCAGCCACCCAAGATATAGTTCCAGCTAGGGGTATCCATCCTCACCATAACCCTAAATAAAGAGGACAAGGAGCCTCCTAATATATACATATATATATATATACACTTGAGAGTAAGCATTTTTACCAGGCTGGCCACCACCTGAAAAGTACAGAACTAGTCAAAGGAATCTATTGCGATAATCTGAACATGAACATGTCTGTGAGACCACCAACCACTTAGCCACGAATTACATGTCCAAGTTCCACATGTTCCATTTGCAAAGTATGGGATGTTTTGCATGAAGATGCAAGATGACAACCTGCCGGAATCACAGCTGTTCGCAGTTGGTGTCTTAGTCATCCGAATGTGACTTGGAGGTTCACCAAATAACAAATTGTAAGTGGCTTATAACCGAAATTTCAACTGGACTAACTCTACTTCCCCTACTGAACTGACTGGGGTGATTTTACTCCCTTACTATCTCGGAAATGCACCAGGCACCAATAGGGTCAATGAGCAGTGCCCAGCCCTCCCCCCACTCCGTTTTTTCTTGGGGGGTTATGATAAGTTATGATGTCTAATTCTTGCAGTAGTGACGTTGAGGTTTCTACTATTTCAGGGGAGGGGGCACTGTACAAGTCAGAGGGTACCCCCGAAATTCCAGGGTGGATGAGACGCCTGCAAGTGAAACTTCAACACCTCTATCCGTAGATCATTGGGTACCCAATCATTGGTGGTTCACCGCAGTCATCTCAAGCTGGCATCGAGACTACCGAATTTGCTGCTAAAACCTATGATAAACCATATGGGGTGAGGCCCCTAGATATAACTACAGTTCATGGGGGTTTATAATGGGTTATAAATAAAGTTATAACTGGGGTTACCAGAAATATTCTTGTTGTTTATCATCCATTTTTTCCGATTGAAACGTCCACAGACTTCCAGACTCGGTCCTGGATCCCCCTGTTGGAAGACCGTCTCATTCTCTTCAACGGCCTGTGCCACAGCATTGGGCTCCCAACACCCCGCAAGGTGGGTTGTAATGGGCTGGAGCAACCCTAAAACTGGAGTTCAAACAGCAAGAATAGGCATGTAAGTAGCATTGGTAGGGCAATTCAGCCATAAACAGAAGGGTTTGGGTAGCTGGAATGTGGATCGCCAAGAACAGGCAGCTAATACTAGCAAAACTATGGATGTTGAACAAGTGACAATAGGGATCGAATTAAGGAGCAAATACAGGAAAATTGGTAGCAATAACCATCCGTTGATCAAGAAATGAAACATAAGGATGTCATCACATGAGTATGAAAGTCAATATTTGGGCTGGTCAAAAGACTGTCCCAAACGGACAGAGGCCAGCCAATTGTAGAGTGATCACATAATCATCCATGATTATCTCACTATTCTCCTCTAATCCACAAAAACGATATTATACTATCCCATCAATATCGAACTATCCATGATTATCCTACTATTATACCATATGAATCCAAAGAATTCCATTTCCTACTACATTACTACATTCCACTTGCTCATCTGGTTAATTCTTGGCGGCTCATCCCACTTGCTAAGTGGGTTATAATCCTACTTATCAGTGAATTAACCCTACTGATTCCACAACATCAGGGATATAACCCACTTCGGATTTTCCTGGGATGAGCCACGAAGTATGGGATACGAAAAAGGATATCATCATCATCATCATCATCATCATCATCATCATCATATACATGTATATATATATATATGAATTATCATGGTTATCTCAATATGATCCTATCATTTTTTAAAAAAATATGATCCCATAATTCTCCATATACCTTTTCAAATGTGGTAAAACCCAACAGTAATGGATGATACTCTGGGATAAACTCCATCAACCCAATCATAATGGATATATTAATGATAATACTATTGGATACTATGGGATAAACCGTGATCAAGCCAATCATAATGGCTGATTTTCATGGGTTTTTTCATGACAATTTTCTTGCAAATCTAAGGGTAAAACCGGATAGAACTCCCTCCTCTGTCTTAGGTATTAGGATAATCCCAAAAAAAAATGGATAAACTTATCAACCCAATCATAATGGCAAATTCATGGATAATCCCTCTATATATATATATATACTGGTTGGTGGTTTCAACCCCTCTGAAAAATATTTGTCAGTTGGGATTATTATTCCCAATATATGGAAAGTCATTAAAAAATAGTCCGAACCACCAACCAGATAAACATGACTGACCTAAAAACTTATAATAATTCATGGATAAACTTATCAACCCAATCATAATAATTCATGGATAATCCCTATATATATATATATACGGCTAGGGGATGATTTCGGAATATATATATATATGGAAGTTGACCACGCCTGCAGCATCATCATCTCCGCCGTCTCCCGACGCTGCTGGTCCGTGAGATCGCTGAAGAAGGGCGCGGAGCGCAGCAGCCTCGAGGGAATTTTTCATGGGATTTTCTCATGGGGAAAGTCATGAAAAAAACCATTAAAACCATGAAAAACCACCATTAAAATCATCTATCTATGGTGGTTTTTCATGTTTTGTTCATGGATTTTGTTCGGAGAAAAAAAACATGAACTGGAAAATCATGGGGAAATCCATGACAAAAATCGGTAACCAATTAGCCATGATAAGCGTAAGTCTTGGATTGGTGGGTTTTGGATTAGTGGAGTTTTCGAAATTGGGAAAAGCTGTCTGTTTCTGGGGTGTCGTTCTTGTACAGTGAAGTTAGGAGTTGTGGCTGGGGCATGTAACAATAATCCCGGTTGTAAGAAGGCTTTAAGAAAGCTTTAAGAAGGCTTTGAGTCACTTACTAATCATTTCATCCAATTGCAGCTGCAAATCGATTTACTGGAGTCAAGTTGGAATTCACCAAGCAAACAGAATGGGGTCGTCCGTAGCAACTGGGTTGTCAATACTTTGTGCTGCACTTAGCTGCTAGACATCCTTCAGACAATCCGGACCAGTAGAACAATCCCTTGTTGGGTATTGCAATGGTGATCCACACCCGTGTCTTTGTGTATATATGATTGTGTATATATATAATTATATATATATAGTATTGTGATAGGTACCCTCTGTCATCAAACATGGCACTCGAAAGTCCTCTATACATGGAAGTTTTAATGGGAAAATATGGGAAAATCATCTATAAATGGATGATGTTCCATTGCCACGTTTGATTACCGGACCAAATCATCCATGTTAATAGGATCTGCCATCATAAACCATCCATTTTTGGGATCCCCCATGCTGGTGATTGGCTAACCTTCGGCTAGCGGCAGCGGCTAGTGGCGGCTAGACATGAACCCCGGGGTGGTGGTTTCACCCTTTGAGAACAACGTGGAGAATGGGAAACCACCGACCCAGGTCCACCAACCCAGACCTCAATGCGTAGGCTTCCCATGGCGTTTCCTGGTTCAAAATGGATGAGAAGTGAGAAGTTTTTGTCACAAGGAAAATACAAAGATACCCTGACATCTCCTGACAAAACTTCATTATACCATCTGGTTATCACATTCACAGTTTGCCATGGAAAGATCCACCATGCTATTAAGTTCGGTAAACCATCTATTTCGATTAGGGTCATGGCTTAACCATGGCGAACTGTTAGTCATAACCAGAGGGTAAGTATTTCGTACGAGTTATTTTCAAAGAGTTTAGTACTACAATGATACTGAAAAGTTCGTCACAAGTCTGCTACGATTATGAGTCTTAGTCGCAAATTATCAATGGGATAACCGTATAACCTCGAAAATCGGAGACGACGTGGCCTTTTTAGGGTGATTGACGAGGTCCGATTTGATAATTTAAGTGCTGATCTGCTGATCCTCGGAGTTTATCATTACCATTTATCTGCTGATTTGATAATTTGATAATTCTGTGCTGATCATTACCAAACATCATGAATTTTTTCGAGCCCAGTTTGGTAATGTTTGGTACTTCAGACTCTCCAGAAAATTCCACGAAACCGCGAAACCGATTTACCCAGGTCAACTAAAAAATATTTGTACAGGCAGGATGTGCATTGAGATTTCTTGGGAATCTTGGGTTTTAATAGCAGTAATATGTCACATGTTTTGTCACCACAACAACCATGAATCATACCCAGTTATCAGTTAGATGACTGGAAGATCGTTCTCGCTTCGATACCGTCGATCCCTGGGTCCTGTATGGTCCTGTACTAGGGATTATCGGATTCCGTGAAAAGATGACTGAAAAAAACACAACTGGACTACCCTCCAAACATACAAAAAGCTCTTGAAGCCATGGTGTCGAAAGTTTTTTTTTGATTTACCCAGCTATAAAAATGGTGGATGTTCCATAGTTTTTGTGTATCACCAGAGGGTAAAATTTCGGGTGATTTCTTGGGATCTCTATCATCCATGGAATATCCACGGCCCACGTATCCCTTGAATAAAAGTAGAAATCCCATGATTAAACCCATGGATAATCTGAAGTAGAAATCAAATTGATATGATATGATCAGTGGGATGATTATTAAACAATGATTATTCAGAAAAATATTAAATATGACTAAGGATATTAATAGTAATATTAGTATTAATATTGATTTTAATATTACCATCTGGTTATTTAACATAGCCATGGAAAATCCCGAAAATCAATGGAGGTTGATGTCGCTGGGAAAATCATCTATTTCGATTAGGGCCATGGCTTCCATGGCTATGTTAGTCATAACCAGATGGTGCATTCGAAGCCATGGACTGGGAACAGAAATAAACAATTCGCCTCTGGTAAACTGGTAATGAATGGTGATTTCATGGTGATTTTTTGTGGGATCTAATTGTGATTAATGGAGGTTTAACCTCTGGTAAACTGTTACATAACTATGGAAAATCACAATTTTTAATGGAAAAATCCAGTATTTCTATGGCAATTTTCAATAGCAAACTGTTAAATTACCAGAGGGTAAATGGAAGGGGTTCTAAAAACATGTGGCATCCCCGAGTCGCCATGGTTGTTTAAATACTACAATATTCCACAATGGTCTTATGACTGATTTGGGCGTACCCCCCCTTTAGAAAACCTCCAAAGAAGTGTGTTTCCATGATCACAGTACAAAAAAAACCAAGTCCCTCTTGCAGGATCAGCAGCGAGGAAATCCCATTTTCCAGAATGGCACCAGTTTTACCCTCCAGTAAATTAACATAGACCCTGGTAGATAGGGATTGGAAGATTAGTTTCCTCTAAAAATTTGTGATTTTCAGGGTCTATGTTGATTTACCAAAGGGTAAATTCAAAACACCTGAAAAAAAACAGCAAACAAACAGCTAGTTATAACTCCCCATGAATAATCAGTGATTATCCCAGTGAATAACGCTGGTTATCACTCTCAATCAACAAGAACCAAACTCCCAATAGTCAGCAGCCAGACATTGCCAGATAAACCAAAGTAGCTTCAACATCCAGATCAATCATCCAGACATGACAAAGATACCCTCTGGTAAAAGGTTACATAGCTATTGAAGCCGTGGCCCAGTCGAAATAGTGGATTCACCCATGAAACATGGCGATGTTCCATCGTTTTTTGTATGTTGACCAGAGAATATCAATCATCCAGACCTTTCCTGGCTGGTGGTTGACCTACCCCTCTGAAAAATCATGGACTTCGTCAGTTGGGATGATTATTCCATTCCCAATATGATGGGAAAGTCATTAAAAATTCCATGGTTCCAGTCACCACCAACCAGTGTTTGTTGGTTTATAAACCATGAATTCATCCCCATTAACTAGTTCGTTATATCTACCATAAACCATAGTTTTCATCCACATTTCCCAACCAGTTTCGGACGCCCCCGGTGACCTTCAGACTCTTGGGAGCCGCGACGGCGAAGGCTCCGGAGGCTCCGCGACCGGCTCCGCCGATGGCCGCGATGGCCGCCGCGAAAAGCGCCGCCGCGATGGCGGTGCGGCGGCGCGCCATGGGCGCAGCCATGGCAGGTGCCAAGGATCATCCAGGGAAAATCATGGGGATATCATGGTGATAGAGCATCTAAAGCAAGAGAAAAAGGTCAAAAAATGGTGATTTTATGACATTTGATAGGAATCTCATGGGATTTTATGGGAATGCTAAGTACATTTAAGCTAAAATCATGTGATTTTATGGTAGTATCATGGGAATATCATGAGTAATTGTATGTGGCAAAAACCATGGCGGGATGTAACCAATCCCTCGAAAGGTGGCAAGCCCAATGATAGCTGGTTAAGAATGACCCTTTCAAGGAAACGGTGATTCTTTGCGATTCATAAGCCTTTAATCATGGTCAATTTCTTTTTAGTCCACAAGGTCGATTCTCATCTTGTTTTGGTTACCATCTGGTTATTTAACATAGCCATGGAAAATCACCATGCTATTAATAGGTAAACCATCTATTTCTATGGGTCATGGCTTCCATGGCTATGTTAGTCATAACCAGAGGGTAACTGGTTATGTTCAATAAAAATAGCCAAGAAGTGGAATTAAAGCCATCCAAGGATGGGGATGTAAGAAAACCCTCTATTGTTGACATCACCAAATGGGTTGGTTAAATCCCTATGACCTTGGCCACTGATCAGTAACCCTTGGTGATCTAGGTGGAACTCAAAAAAAATCACGTTGTCAAGAGTATATGACGGCAACAAACATGTGGGACTTTACCATACGTGGTTAAAGATATCCCTGAAGATATCTCCGTGAGCAATCTTTACCATAGATGCGCATTGGTTATTTTACATACTGATAATCCTGATAAGCTATCCTTGAAGAAAAAACTTGTGCAGCTTCGATGATGTTCTTTCAAATTTGCTATCCGGGGTTTCATATTCGGGGGGGCATATCCCGTTGCACCTTTGATTTATTGATTTGATGAATCAACCCATGCCCGAATAAATAATGGCATGAACATGGACATAAAAAAGAAACCACCCTTCTCAAAAGGGTGGCTTGAGCCAAGGAGCCAACCCTTCACAAGTCAGGAGTTGGCAAGCAAAAAGCGAAAAACAAAGAATGTGGAAAATCGAGTAGTGTGGGTAAAACAATCATAAACCATCCCCCAATCATCACCATAAATATATAGGTGGTTTTCATATGGTGGTATGTTTACCATTCGCAGTCCTTTTTTTGGTTTATGACATTCTTTTCACAAAAAAGCCCTGGATGATTGATGATTAGCTCATCATTTTGACAAAAAATGGGCCCTGGAGGGGGGGACACCATTGACACCATCTCCTCAGGCCCGGCCGAGACTGCAAAATCATCGCTGAATTGCCCGAAACTAAGCGATTCCCCAAATGGTGGATTTCCCACTAAGATAAAATTTATCACCTTCAGCAAATCCAGATGGGAAGATCATGAAACTGTCCATATTCGTTTTCAGGGCGCATGATGTCGCCAGTTGAGTCTCCCAGAAGCATCTCAGGTCATTGTCAGGTGCAGAAGAAGTTGATCATCCAGGGTGGTGTCCCCCAGTTATGTTTGTTAATGTCAACCTTGGATTTTGCTAAACCATGGTATATTTTCATTAGGGGGGTACTCCTCCTATTTCGTCATGATTGGATACTTAAATGGTATCCCCCCAATTAGTCACAGCCGTAAACGGGGTTTATTAATCCGGGGTTGACATTAGTTGGTTCATAAAGCCCATCAACTATACTTCTATGCCCCCTACTCAAGCATAATGATATAGTGCGGCAAGTGACATGTGCGTCAACTTTGCGTTAACTCGAACGGGGGCCCCAGTAGACACAACACCAAAACCAACAGTTTGATGTTTTGTTCCGCACAAGAACTCCCAGGACTTTTGCCAACTCCGCGTCTCTGCACAGCGTCTCTCTGAATTCGACTGGCTATTTCTAGCCTTTTCTAAGGTCATTTCTGGGTGATTCCCCATATGTACACCATTATACGATGGTGGTTTCAACGGTTTCAATAGGGGACCCCATTGGATCATTGGATAACCAGGTCGCTTTCAATACTAAAATGATGAGGACATGACTCTGGTGCTCCTATGACTTAGGAAACCTCCATTTCTGGTGACATCCAATTTTTGACTTTCTGAAAGTGTTGATGAAAATGCGCACTCCTGGAGTAGGTGTCATTCCTGCGGCGGATGGTCAAACTGAACATGTTTTTTTCACAGCGGAGACCCTCTGGCTAACTTGGCTGGACGGAAGATCCCAGATTCACTGATGAGTTTCTGATGTTTCCCAGTGAGAATTATTGCTGTGATAGCCATTAGTTTCAGGCCAATTTTACAGGAAGTTCCTATATTTGATGGCAAAAACCATGGTTTCCGGTTAAGACTTTCCTGTAAACCAATGCATTGATACAGAGGATAACCGGATAAGCTTGGACTTGTGGGATTTCCATCCCTCGTTCGCCTTTATCCAGGAAGTAGAAAAAAAACAGAATGTAATACTCTACCCTCTGGTCAACTAACATAACTATGGAAAATCACCATTTTCAATGGGTAAACCCACTATAAAGTATGGCCATGTTCAATAACTATGTTAGTTTACCCAGCTTTACCATTGAAATGAGGCCATTGAAGTCGCAACGGCGTTTGTAAACGGTGGAGGGCATCCACGAATTCAACTCCCTGGCCACGTCAAAACTGCGTCTGGATGTTTCACTGATAGTGCCATATATATATATATACATATACGTGTGTACGTATATTGTCTTATATATATATATATATTGTGTATATATATAAATTATGTATAGATATATTATGTATATATATATTGTATATATATATAATGTATATATGTATATATAATGTATATATATAATGTATATATATAATGTATATAAATAATGTATATATATATATATCTTATGTATACATATATATATATTATGTATATATATTATGTATATATATATAATGTATATATATTATGTATATTAATATTATTATATATATTATGTATATATGTATTGTGTATATATATTATGTATATCTATATACATTCTGTATGTATATATATTATGTATATATATATTATGTATATATATATTATGTATATATATTAATGTGTATATATATATATATTATGCATTTATAAATTACTTATATATATAAAGTGGATATATATATATATGTAAATATATATATATTATATTGTATATATATAATGTATATATATATATATTATGTATATCTATATATTATGTATATACATATATATATATTGTGTGTATTTGTATATATATTGTATATATATATTGTATATATATATTGTATATATATATTGTATATATATATGTATATATTGTAAATATATTGTATATATATATACAATATATACAGTGTATATTTATATATTGTATATATATATTGTATATATATATATTGTATATATATATTATTTATATTGTATTTACATATATATATATATATTGTAGATTTATATTGTATATAAATATATATTGTATATATATTGTATATATATTGTATATATATTGTATATATATTGTATATATATTGTATATATATTGTATATATATTGTATATATATATATTGTATATATATTGTATATATATATTGTATATATATATATATTGTATTTATATTGTATATATATTGTATGTGTATATATATATTGTATGTATATATATTGTATGTATATATATATATTGTATGTATATATATATATTGTATGTATATATATATTGTATATATATATATTGTATGTATATATATATTGTATATATATATTGTGTATGTATATATATTGTATATATATATTGTATATATATATTGTATATATATATATTGTATATATATATTGTATATATATATATTGTATATATATATATATATATATTGTATATATATATTGTGTATATATATATATTGTATATATATATATTGTATATATAGTGTAAGAACTGTGTATATATATATATATATCAATTGCATATATATCGTGTGTGTATATATATATATCTTATAAATATTGTATAGATATGTATTGCGTATATTTAAATATGTTGCATATATGTTTAGTACATATATATATATATTGTATATATATATTGCATATATATATTTATATTGTATATATATTGTGTATATATATATATATATATTTGTTTACTATATACATAGTGTCTATATTATATATATATTGCAAGTATATATATATATATTGTAAGTATATATATAAGTGTGTATATATATATACACATAAATTTGTATGTTTATATATTGTAAGTATATATATGTTGTAAGTGTATATATATATATACATATATATTGTAAGTATATATATTTATTGTAAGTATATATATATATATTGTAAGTATATATATTATATTGTAAGTATATATATTGTAAGTGTATATATATATATACTTTTATTCTGTATATACATGTATTGAATACATATCATATATACAGTGTATATATATATATATTGAATATATATATATATAGTATATGGATAAATTATGTTTACGCTGTGGCAATTTGACATTGCCATGGAAGCCACAACCTGTTTAGTTCGATGATTTACCGTCTTTAAACATAGTGATTTTCCGCAGTTCAATCTAGAGATGCTACTTCCAAAAATGGATAAAATACTACATCAAATACAAATTGGGGTTGCATTTTTTCCTTGTAAGTAGAGATATACATATATATATATATATATAACCACAGCTTTTCCGGACCTTCAAAACCCCAACCGTTACGGTTTACCTTACAAAACGGCAACGCCCGCAACTGCTGGTGATCCCAAAAAACAGGGGTTGGTAAATGTGCACCCACATAGCTCTGGAAAATCACCATTTTTAACATGTACCCTCCATTGAAAATGGTGGATTAATATGGTTTAATGGGATATCAACTGGCATCATGAGATATTGATGGGTTACCCTCTGGTAATTTGTTCCAGGTAGCTATGGAAAATGGCCCAGTTATAGTTGATTTACCTATTAAAAGTGGTGATTTTCAATAATGTTGGTAAAACAATGTCATAAACCATCCCCCAGTCATCACCATAAATATATAGGTGGTATGTTTACCATTCCCAGTCATGGGTGGTTGATGACATTGTTTTAACGACATTAATTGAAATAAGAGAAAGTGCTAATCAAAGCAAATAACCCACTAATAAAGCCTGTTTTGGAGAGAAATAACCCCAAATGTGCTAATTGAACATCACCCAGCCAAAAAGGTGTTTTTTTCTCTCCAACAGATACGACAGAAAGTCATACCACAAAATCAACAGAAACGAGACATTTACCAATTCCTGCAGTCATACATATCCCCATTCTATCGCTGCTATTTTCGAATGTAATTCCCATTGTTGTTGATTAGATCCATACACATTGCTAAAATTTACATCGCTGGTGAAAAAAACTATCCACATTGCTGGTCAAATACACATTGTTACATTCTTGCTGAAACGATTTGTTGTTGGTATCCACATCGCTGGTGAAATCACCCCACACCTACGACGAGCATTCGCACGTTCCCAGGACTTCGCAAGACTTGATCCTGGGCTGCTGACATTTTAAAAAATGGAGAGTCGTACCTTGTGGGGGGGGGGCATGTTTACGGTGTTTTGTGATGTTTTTTGATAAATTTTGGAAAAATGATGTTTTCAGATGGTTTCAAGGTTATGAAGATTTACGATTTTACGATTTTACCAGCGAAATTTGGCATTCAGCGGAATCAAATTTGGAATTTTGATGGCAGAGGTTGGGCGTATGTTTATGTGTAGTGTTGACCCATGATTTTGCTAGACCCTCACTTTGTTAATATGGGTGCCACTTTTCATACTAATTGGTTTCACTATGTTGGGAGTGCTGCCCTCCCGATTGATAGGGAAGGCTTTGTTTTTCTCATCGGGGGAACCGACAAATGGTATATACATTGATAAATCTAAGCACTGAGTCCTCAAACTCACCAACCAGTTATAGTGGGCCGATTACCAATAGGAAACTCAACGATCTGAGGCCACAAAATATTGATAAATACCCTCTGGTAAACTAACCTAACTATGGAAAATCAGCATTTTTAATAGGTAAATCAACTATTTCTATGGCCATTTTCAATAGCAAACTGTAACAAATTACCAGAGGGTAAATGGTTCACTGGGTTCGGCCATCATTTGTTGGGCCTTCCATGGAAATAACCATGGTTTGGGCCGGGCCAGGGTGAATCAAAAAAATGGACGCCGACAATGGACCCAATTCGCCATTCCCATGTACCCTCTGGTAATTTGTTACAGTTAGCTATTGAAAATGACCATTTATAGTTGATTTACCTATTAAAGATGGTGATTTTCCATAGCAAACAGTTAGTTTACCAGAGGGTACTTGATTGTTCAATGGTTTCCTACCTCTTATTAACCAACCAGTGGGAATTTACGAAAGATCTTCAAGTATGACTCAGACACGTGTTCCCTGGAATTGGGCACCCAGTACCCTAATGTCCTGTTGAGTCCCAGTTGCCTGATTTTTTCAACCCAAATCCACTTGTTGGATATCATGGTCCATATCAGCATTGCCATTTAGGGGCTCTATCCCATTTTCCAACACACCCAAAGATCATAGCGTTGGTTATGTATAGTAAATCTATCTATCTACCTACCTACCTACCTATCTATCTCTCTGTCTATCTATCTATCTATCTGTCTGTCTGTCTGTCTGTCTGTCTGTCCATCTATCTATCTATCTATCTATCTATCTATCTATCTTTTTATCTATCTGTCTAATTATCTATATGTTCCTGTATATCTCCAGTACATACCCAATGTTACCATTATTCGCCAGCTACATCCCCATTATATAGATGTTGTATCCCCTGTTTCCCCTGTTATTTGGGGCCAAAAAAAAACCGGCCTCATTTTACTTCTTCCGAGAGTCAGCTTTGCACCCTTTTGCCTCGGTTGAAGAATTCAGGCCACGGAAGCAGGAGTTGTCTTCAAACATTCTTCTAGGAAGTGTCAGAAAAAACCATCAGGTGGGGGAAAAAACAAATTTACCAAAACCAGGAAAAAAAAAACGTTATACTTGATGCTTCACAACCCACGAATCGTGGAAAAGTGGGTGAGTTCAGCCCCGAAAAACAACTGGACGGTCAATCCCCAGAAATGATCTGGTTACTCTCTGGTATACAAACATAGCTATTGAAAATGGCCCATTTAGAGTTGATGTATCTATTAAAAGTAGTGATTTTCCATGGTTATGTTAGTTTACCAGCGGTTAAATCTCTCAAAGATTCCCAACCATTCGCATCCATTCCATTGTGGTTATATCATGTTGTATCCCATCCACCTAATATTCAACACTCATGAAAAATTCTCCCAAATACGTGATTTCATCCCCACATCCACCATGGTTTATAGGGGCTGCTTAAAAAAAGGGGGAAGGTATCTATACACATATCGTCCCATTGTAAACCATGAATGTCCCGTTTATATCCTATAAAATTAAATCACCACGTTTACCAACTGCTCACCATCAATGGCACATATCCCGATTGTCGTTGTTTTGAGAAAATATATTGCATAATCATCTATAGTATATCCCTTCTATATACCTCATATGTACCATATACTGTATATATATACATATATGTATATCTCATCACCATGATAAGTACCTATGGGGGCTCTAGTTATGTTAGATATCTCATTACATGATATGTGCGATAATCATCTCTGATGGTATATTTCTCATCATGTTTGATTCTTCAATCCCTCTTCTAGTTGGTGACATCCCAGTAAATCATGTATATACACATGTATACCAATACATATACATTTTCATATACATTTCCTTTGTACAGATATATATATATATATGTAATTTATTATGTTTATATATAATTTATTATGTATATATATATATATATATGTATGTATGTATGTATGTATGTATGGATGGATGGATGGATGTATGTATGTATGTATGTATGTATGTATGTATGTATGTATGTATGTATGTATCCTACTTTATCTTTATCTGTATATATCTTTATACCCCTCATATATCCATATCCATGTCCATTTACATAAGTTACATATCAAAGATATATATATATATACAACATATGAATACACACATATATATAAATATACCATACATATTCCATGTGTATCTCATATATATATATATATACATCATAGATATCCCATAGATACCCTCTGGTAATTCAACACTTTGCTATTGAAGCCATGACCCATTTAGTTTGTTGGTTTACCGTAATTAAAAGTGGGTGAGTTTACCAGATGGTATAGTTTACCAGAGGGTATTCCATAGATATTCTATAGAATTCATATATATATATATCTCTCTCCCATATCATAAATCCCATATTATTCCACATATATATTATATACATATCCCATATATATATTTCCATAGATATCCCCATCGAAAATCCCTTATAGATATCTATGTTATATATTCCCATGATTCCATATGATATATCCTCATAAGCTATACATATTCCAGATATGCCATACATATTCGATAGATATCCCCATGATTATCTGGTTGGTGGTTTCAACCCCTCTGAAAAATATGAAAGTCAAATGGAATTGTTGTTCCCAATATATGGAAAAATATAAGCCATGTTCCAAACCACCAACCAGTTTTATATATATATATATGTGTGTGTATATCCCATATACATCCCCACAAGATGGGGCCCCCAAGATAGCTAAGTTGGTTTATAAGTGGTTGATTTCTATGGTTTATGGTAGATAGAACGAATTAGTTAATGGGGATTAATTCATTGTTTTTCTCAACCAATGTTCACATCACTGGGGGACCCCATCCCCGAACGCCGAACGCCGAACGCCGAGAGGCTTCAAGTCCTCCAGGGCCTCCTGGCCCTGCGCTTCGATCACGGGCTTCGTGGCATCCGTGACGAGGTACACGTCGAAGCCTTCCTTCAGGGCCTGGCGGAGCGGAACCACCCCGGGAGTGGCCGCCACGGAGCTGTAACAGGGGATGGATAAAAGGGGCTGGAATCTGGCAAAATCATGGGAAAAGCCACTAGAAATGGAGCTTTGAAAAGCGAAAAGCGTGGGAAAAGCGTAGGAAATATCGGAAATCCCATTAAGAACGGAGGTTTATAGATGCGAAAATCAGCTAATGGAGATTATTCATAAATGAATGGAACTAGGAGGATCCGGCCAGCGTGACCCGCGAAGTGGTTGAAGTGGTGGCTTGAAAACAAGCCAAACGTGAATAAATGATAATAAATGGTGAGTGTTTCTGGCTAGCAACCAACTACTTGGAGGATCATCCCACTGAATAACCGGATATTAAGCATAGTGAAAACAAACATTTATAAATGGGAGAGTGATCGATCTTCCAAGCAGGTGGGTGAAAGGTGGATAAAATTCTCAGATTTGAGATGGTTTCATATGGTTTTATTGTTGATTCTAAAGGGTTTTAAAAAGGAGTTTGATAGAGTGTTTAATATGGGATCCAACCCCAATTGGATGGACAAATGCAAGTTTACTATGTTTTGATCTGGGTTGATATGGTTGAGAATGGCCCCGTTGATTACCGTGGCTCAAATAGTACACGAACCACGCTTGAATCAACCAATCAACCGCGGAAGGGGGCTATGAAATATAAGTTACTCTATCCCATTAACCATTAACTGGTTGGTGGTTTCAGCCCCTTTGAAAAATATTAGTCAGTTGGGATTATTATTCCCAATCTATGGAAAAACAAAAAATGTTCCAAACCATCAACCAGTTAACCATTAATCCCGTCCCTCAAAACTAAATAAAGCCCATTCTCTGGTTCCAAACATGCGGTTTCATCCCCTATTAAACCGTCGTTTCTAGGGATGGGTGTTCATTCTGGGCAGAGGATGGGATTCTTCATTATATATTAAGCACTGTAATCGCATCAACCTATCTCCATTACATGAGTGTTTCATTGTTATATCAACCGTAACCTTTATTATTACCCTCCGGTAGTCTATATAACAGTTTGCTATTGAAAATTGCACATAGAAATAGTTGATTTACCTATTAAAAGTGATGATTTTCTATAGCAAACAGTGAGTGACTACCACCCTCTGGTAAACATACAAAAAACGATGGAAAAACACCGTGCTATTACATGGCTAAATCAACTATTTCGACTGGGCCATTTTCAATAGCAAACTGTAAACGTTTACCAGAGGGTAAGTCACCTGAAAGCCATCAACCTATCCTAACCACCGAGCCGCCTGCAGAGCAGTGTACTTGACACAGTAATCCTCTGCCACACCGGTCAAAAAGACCTGCTCCACTCCTGCCAGCTGCCTGGCATCGGAGGTGGCCAGTTTCACCCAGATGTCAGTGGAACATCATGAGAATATCATGGAATTTCATGAAATTTCATGGGAAAAAACTGGAGAAAAATCATGTGAATCTTGCTGAAAACATGTTTTTGTTTTGGGCCCACAAAAGAAAGGGTTGATTCCGTGAGTCCTGGCAATTCTCAAAAAATACCACCCATTTCAGGTGAAATTGGGGCTGGTTTCTTAGGCTTTGCCACACTATATCAACCTGCTGTGACAATGACTTGGGAGATCTTACTGAGTCACTGGCTTAGTTCACAAATGTGGTCAAAACAATGTCACGGTTACCATCCCCAGTCATCACCATGTTTATAGGTGGTAGAAACTTTCCATTTCCAGTCATGGGTGGTAAAAATGACATGGTTTTACCCACATCATGTCATATCCAATTATTATTTGGTTTATTAACCACTATTAACCACTATTAACCACTATTAACCACTATTAACCACTATTACCCACATGAAATGCTTACTTCACCCAGCTCAACGTGGGATTTTGTCGACTCTGTAGACGTAGCCGTTCCCGAGATGCCCAGGTGTTCAACTGATGGTGGTTATCCTGAGATGCCCGTGGGCTTAGTTTTTTGGATCAACCACAGAAGGCCATTCCGACAAGTTACAAAGCACCAAACAGGCCAGTCTCAATTTGAAAGCTGGTTTCCTCGAAAGCATCGGGCTGGTGGGATGGTTTTTCATCGAAAGTGGTAAGGTGGGAATGTAAGCCACCCCCAGTGGTCATTGGTATGTTTGTTGGTTAACCCCGAACAGATCAGTCGTGGTGGTGTGTCCATGTAAAAAAAAGCAGCCCTTCATGAGGCGGGGATGGTCATTCATGCCGTTTCATGGGAAGCCTTATACATAAATTGGTAAATATATATAATATATATATATATTAACATTATATAACTCCCGAACCGAAAATGGAATGACTAATTTGTATATTAAAATCCTTTTGAAAACGGATTGGCCACCATTAAATCCAGCAGAAATCCGCCAGAAATCTGCCCGCTTACGGGGCTCCAAAACTGATGATCTTCACGGGACTGGGTCCAAAATCCAAGACCCAAATTGCCAAATTCATATAGGATGGGGCCCCAAGTCGATAGCGTTCAGTTGCCTCAAAAAAGTGGCTGAATTCCATTGGGTTTATGGTAGATATTTCACGAACTAGTTAATAAATGGGGATGATTTGATGGTTTATAAACCAACGTTCACATCACTAGTAGCTAAGTTGGTTTATAAGTGGCTGAATTCTATGGTTTATGGTAGATATAACGAAGTAGGTCATGGGGATTATAATGGTTTATAAACCAACAAACATCACTGGGGGACCCCATCCTGTATATGACTGGTCACTTATTTGTATTCACCATCCATTTTTACTGGTGCCCAATTTTGACGCATACCCATGTGCATGCAGCTAAAATGAACTGGTCCTGGGAAACCATGGTTCAAATCCGCTTGCAATGTTCATTAAATCAAAATCATCCGCTTAAAATACTTAGAAACTGGGTCAGTAAGCGTTTTTAATCAAGCTGCAACTGATTTTATCCATGAGACTGGCAATCCACAGGCTTACGATTCCCAAAAATACCCGATGGTCTTCTGTCTTGATCCGACCACCTACGACTGGTTCTTCACCCCAGGAATCATGCAAGTTGGTTACCCTCCGGTGTCATCACACGCAGTAACCCGGTAATGCAAAATCCTCCCGAATTATGGTTGATGTTCCCATGGAAAAATCCTCCATCGATTCCCGGGAGTTTCCGGTGCCAGGTTGGATGAGACTGTTGGTGACTTTTCGGCAGTTCTAACTGGACTTCCCCAGAAATGAAAAATCATGGAGTTCGTCGATGGGAAGGATTATTCCATCCCATATATGAAATGGAAGTCATCCTTAAGCCATGTTTGAAACCACCAACCAGACTAGCTCGGGTCAACTAGCCCGAGCTAAGATGAGTCCGGTGAGCCACCAAGTATCATGATCATATCTCCAAGATGTGCCTAGAAAACGTCCAAAATGGATCGTTAGAAATAGGCTACCCCTAAATCCGCTTGTAATCGGTCTACCCATTTTGAGGGGTCTACCATGGTCTACCGGTCTACCGGTGCACCCCATTTTCAGACACACCCACAGAATCAGATCATGAAAGATGGGATCGTATTGGGTGATGATATGTCCCATTTATATTAATCTGTTTATCCGCAGTGTATCCGCATCCGGCATACTCTCTGGTAATTTGCTACAAGCTATTGAAAATGGCCCATTTATATTGGATCTACCCATTAAAAATGGTGATTTTCCATGGTTATGTTCAAAGGAAGTTTAGTGGGAGAAACTTCCGTGTTACGGACTTTTAGAATGTAAAGAAAGAGTTAGTCAAAGAAACAGTTAGTCAAAGAAAGAGTTAGTCAAAGAAACAGTTAGTCAAAGAAAGAGTTCGTCAAAGAAAGAGTTCGTCAAAGAAAGAGTTCGTCAAAGAAACAGTTAGTCAAAGAAAGAGTTAGTCAAAGAAAGAGTTAGTCAAAGAAACAGTTAGTCAAAGAAAGAGTTAGTCAAAGAAAGAGTTAGTCAAAGAAAGAGTTAGTCAAAGAA